TATATATATATATATATAATTTTACATTATATATAGTATATATACAATATAATACGTATAACATAATATGTAACTCAGAGCCTCCACGGGGAATGCCGGCCCGAAGAGCTCCGACTTTTGTCTTGGGGCTCTCGGGGCCTTGAAGAACTCGAGCACTCAAAGCCTCAGACTCCTGTGCTACGCTATAAGATATTCTACTATATTTTATTATCTTATGTTATATTATGTTATATTTTCTTATATTATATTATATTATATTATATTATATTATATTATATTATACTATGTTATCTTATGTTATGTTATCATCTCATGCCCCAAGGCCAAGATTTTCCAGGATGCTTGCGCGGCCTCCAGCACCCAGGCCAGCGATGGTTGCTGGCATCGGGGAATTCCGGGCGGAGATGCAAGGTACATGCAAAATCAATATATATATATATATAAATATATATATATATATATGTATATTTATATATCTATATCTATCTATCTATCCGTATGTGTGCAAGTACTGCTGACAGTGCGGAAAGACGTAAATCCGTGCATGCTGACGTTTGATTTGCAGCGGATTTCTAAATGTAAGACTACATCATCCAGAGCTCTTTGCTGTTTAACCTGTTAAGCAGTTCGGCTTCTCGGGTTTCAATTACGCACCATGTGATTCATTGTTTGCTTATCCCTTGCGTGACCAGGCCGCACCAGCAGGCACCGCTCAGGGTTCATGGTTAAGTGGTTTCAGTCCAGGGCTTTGTCTGCATCGCGCGTGGGTTATGTCGGAAGGGAAGGCCTTTGTTTGTGCTGAGGGGCCGATGATTCGTTTGCTTGGGCGACACGTGTCCAGGTGGCCTCAGTCCAGAAGCCTTCTTGTCAATGTCTTACACCCTAATTTATAACTGAGCCCTAAACCCTAAGCCGAAGGTTTGATGACAGAGAGACCCTAAGCTTGGACAGGAGATGCAGCAGCTCGAGGGCATCGGCCCGGGCCTAAACTGGGCTGAGCCTTGAGTCGTGCGTTCCGTTTGGGGGCTTTGGCAGCCGGCGGCTCAACAAAAAGAAGTTCAGGCCGCAGGCTCTTGCGCCTGTAGCACCGGGTTTGGAGGTCAGGATGTTCGGGATTCGAAGATTTTGGGCCTTTCTCTTTTCAGTGTGCTTCCTGATTTGATCGGAGAATTAGTTTCGAGAAATCATTGCTGCGTGCTTGGAGAAAGCTCCGTTGGGGTTCAGTGGAACTGGAAGACGACTTAGCATTTGCTCACAGGCTGGGCGAAGAGTCGTGGTGCCGGCATGTTGCCATACTGCTGCGAATGCAAATGTTCAACCGTGGGGTTTGTACACCTGTCGTCGCGCCTGTCTGCCGGTGCACGACATTCATCGGCGTGTCTCGTCGGAGCCGGATGTGTCGGCACCAGGTTTCTCTCCTAGCCTGGACGAAGGCTTTTAGCAATCGCAACACTGCGAACGATTCCCAGTTGATGCACGACCTTGCCTTGAATCTTGAATTTAAGACTGTTTCGATGACCCAGCCACGTCCTTCCTGAGATTTCACCATCGTTTCAACTCTGTCTGGCCATCCCGAACTGCAGTCAAGAGTTCTGAGCACATCTTCATGCGACCGATGGAGATTTGTCCGATTTACGCTGGCTGTGACCAGCAGAGCTTGCCTGGAGGACGCAGAGACTCGTCAACTTGCATCTTTGACCTTTGCGACAAATGCTCAGACACCCAGGGACGAACAGCGAGTTGGCCAATTGATGCTGCTGCCGCTTGGCTGAGGTTGTTACTCTCAGCTCACGCTGTATTCAAAGAGAACGCCAGCATGGAAGAGCCAGCCTTCAAGCGGGCGGACAAAGAAGCGATGCCATCGTCATAACCTGTCTACAGCCTGGCCTCCAACATTGCCCCCGAGGGATAACGAGGCCGCAGCAAGCTCTTGTTTGTGCTCTTGCCGAGAGCACAAACAAGAGCTTGTCGCGGGCTCGAGCTTTCGCGACAGCATGGTCCTGTCTAAGAGAAACCGGCTTTAGCCAGATTTGCTGCAGTGAAGTACATCGATTGATTGATTGATCGGCTGAATGCTTGATAGGTTGAGCGCCATGTACACTACACGGTACGTGGTGGATTGGGCTTCCAGAGTTCAGGCGTAGTCGGAAATCATCGGATCCTTGGCACCCGCACAAAGCCTCACACAGCCCTGAGTATGGAGAAGGGACGAAGCTGTGCCAGGTCCGAAGCCTCTCCGACATCTGGAGCGTCTCCTGCATCCAGGCCAGCCCTCAAACCGCGTTGACACGTGGCGACGGCAAAATCAACGGGATTCGAGAAGCTAAATATTTGTTCAGCAGGTTGGCTATCCGAGGAAGGGCCAGTCATGTCACTTTTTATTTCAATCCTTCTGCAGGACGCCGATGACCATCAACATCCAGGTGGACCCGCCGGCTGTTTTGCGAGCGACCACATGCTCTCCCATGCGCGTTCATACCACCTGTAGATTCATAGACACCCAGCGCCGCTACTTCTTTACCCTACTCTTGCACCCCCTAGCTTCGTCTACTTGTTGCATTTGCGTGTGCGCATGTGAGGCCGGTCCCGGGTTCCCGGCACAGCCGTGGCAGGGGCCCGGCCCGGCGAATTCGGCTCCGGGCGCTGGTCCTGGCGGCCCTCAGGGAGGCCTCTTGAGCCAGCCCCAGTGCTCGCCCGAGAAGAGGGGGGGGGGGTGGGAAAGGATTGTCTTTTTCTCTTGTTTTGTTTGGGCTCTCTGCTATAAGGTTCGGGCCTGCATCCTCCCGGCCGATGCATCTGCAAACAGCCGGGGGCGGCGGTGGCGGCGGCTTCCCATCACAAGGCCTGCGACCCCACCTTGCTTGAACAAATTCGTGCCCTTGTCCACTCACGATCCTCATGCACCCATCTGCACGCCAGAGCACACGTCCAGGCACCTTGTTGAACCTCGTGACGCAGGCACCTGGGTTTGCAAACCAACACCTACGGCTCAAGCCCGGACCTTTCCTGAACACGTGCCTCTGTTATTCAAGTCAGAAGTAATCCCAGATCATCTACCGGCGACACCTTGCACGAATCATGGTCTGTGGAACTGTTGAGGCAGCGGAGGCTGCCGCCCGCCGCGACGCGTCGGCGCGGTCCGCACCGCTCTTCGGACGCGAGGAGTACGCAGCCCAGGGAGTCAGGGAGGAGACTGTCATTCCTGACATTAGTACTGCCGCGGCTGCTGCTGCTTTCGTTGTTGTCCTGATCTCCTTGGTGTTGATCTGGCTTGTACTGCTCAAGCCTGATCATGTCCACTCCAAGTTTGGTTTGAATTCAGAGAGTTGGATGCTGCTGAAAAACGTAAGCAGGCCGAACCCTTCTGCTCGCCAAGTTACAACACGGCCGAAAAACAAAACCGGAGCCTGAAAGCCCCAGCCACGAAGCCGCTCAGGCAGCAAATCCCTGGCATGCAGCACGCCCTGGATCCAGCACAGCCCGGGCCACTTCACATCACTGGGTGAGTACTGTTTGGGACCATGCGGCATGGGCCAACGCATGATCAGGAGCGCCCTCGTATGAACTGTTTCGCCTATTGCTGTGTTCCACTTCCTGACCCTAAATTCAACAAGGCTTCACCAAGCCTGCATCATGTCTGAGGCGAGCTGCTTGGCAGGGAGCGTCACCCTACATGCCGAGAGCTCATTGTGGTTGCTCCTTATGCTTGACAGTGTGCAGGGTTTGCAAGTCGAAATGTGGAGTTCGACTTCAGATGTTGTCTCTGGGCATGGCTGCAGAGCGTTCGCAGAGAATTTAGCCATGTCTCATCGTGCCATCGTTCCAGGTCGTGATGAAGCCATGAATCATGAATCCATCGCTCGCCATCTCTCACCGCCTAAACACGCAGCACGGAGAGGTTTGTGCCGCCGAACTTTCCCTCAACTTCTCCGCCAGGGCCCCGGTGATTACCTGCGCAACAGCAATCGTGATCACGATTACACCGGAAGACGACGCAGAGGATCATCATAACAAGCACCAGAGCAAGACTCTCTGCGGCCGCAATAACAACAATGAGACAGTCTAAGTAATGCCGATTCACACAAGATACACAAGGACAAGCTTCAACCGCGAACAGCGCGCACTTGTGTCAGCGCATCGCGAGCAATAGCTATATAAAGCTATGCCATGGTGTGATGTCGACGCTGACGATGTTGCAGTCGTACCTTCTTTTGGTGTATTTGGTGATGATCGCGATGATGTTGATGAAGAAGAAGACCAACATGCTGATTTTGATGGTGATGAAGATGATGATGACGATGATGATGATGGTTGTTATGCTGGCATTCTGTGGTCAATGGTGGTGGCGGCTGAAACGGCGGTGGTTGTGCAGCAGAGGCAGCGGTGGAACTCACCTGGTATTCTTTGCCCATGCCACCAGTTCGGATCATGCTTGTGTCAGCAGCTGAACATGAAAGCATCCACGACAAGATAGTGTTGTGTTGCTGCTGCTGCTGATGATGGTGGTGATGATGAGGGTAGTGACGACGATACAGGTTCACTGGTGGTTGTGCAGGTTGTCGTGGTGGTAGTCGGTAGTGGTGAAAATGCCGGTGATCACCGGCCACAGTTTTACAAACCTCCTGCGTCCCGAAAAGCATCGCAGACGCAAAGCCAAGCTGCGGCCTCAGAACTTCGGTATAATATATATATATATATAATATCAAATATAATATAATATAATATAATATAATATAATATAATATAACATAATATAACATAACATAATATAATATAATATAGTATAATATAATATAATATAATATATAATATCATAAATTATAATATAATATCATATATTATAATATAATATCATATATTATAATATAATATCATATATTATAATATAATATCATATAATATAATATAATATAATATCATATAATATAATATCATATAATATAATATAATATAATATAATATAATATAATAAACCATAGGCCAACTGAAACTCTGGGCTTCTAGAGGCCGAGGTGGACTCAGAGGCTTGCCCCAAGCTTTCAGCCCTA